GGGGCCTGGCGGTATGTGTGGGCCGTATGGGCCGTATGGGCGTTCAGATTCGACACCCGGTCCGGGGCCTGGCGGTATGTGTGGGCCGGCACAGTGATTGCCCTGACATCATCACCGACGCCTGCTCGCGAACACCACCTCGTCGCAGAAACCAAATCAGCAGGACGACCGAGCTGCTGGTCGCTGGACTTAAGTCACATATGCATATTGAAATACGGGGATAAGTTTCATATTCAGCTCAGGGCTGCAGCCCCCCCCCCCCCCCCCCCCCCCCCCACCCCCTCCCGCAACTTAACACAGAAAGTGGGCCAAATTTGGGAAAGAACCTTTTTTGGCGCATTTTGTGGGTAGGTTGCGTCATTTTTCATCGCCCAGCTACCCCCACCCCCCACCCCACCCATCAACTCATTTTGCAAAGCTACGCTCCTGATGCCAGACGTGTCCGTTGGAATCAACATACATCTTGACTGACGCTTATAGATCATTGATAATCAAATGCCCTAGCAGACCGAATATTGTGTGATTCGGTCTTCCTTTCGAAAAGTCTTCCATGGTCAACGTCGGACCTCAGCGGGTAAAATGCAGTGCACAATAACGTGTCATTTTATTCAAGTGCTACACCACCAGAGGTGAACAGAACAACGAGCACCGAGGCGTTGAAAGCCGCAGCTAGCCATCCGGCCTGCAAATATGTTCATATTTAGCCTTCCAAAAAACTGCTGAGTTTCCAGCAACGTCGTAAACAGACATTCGAAAATAAACTACGCAGTGCTGGAACATTTAACAGAATAGCGGCCTTCTACAATATTAGTCTAAAATTTTACGCGGCATAATATAGTCTGCATTTAAACGGCAGCATGTGTTCAATGGAAAGCTTAAGGGAAGTATCCAATATAAACGGCATGCAGCAACAGCCGCCATCCTTCCAAGCCGTTCCTTCGAGAGCCACCCATACACGCATCGCATTCTCATTTCCAGCCTGGCAGCGGCAACCGGCCTCCACATCTAAAGACTAAAACAAGACCAGAAGCGCGAGTCTCCGGCGGCGGCGGTATCACTGGCCGACCGCGACCGGCGGGGAACGTCACAGCCCGAGCCGGCGTGCCGGCCCGGCCCGACACTCGGCGCCACCTCGCTGGCGCTCCAGCCACCATCGGGGGCCGACGGGAGCGAGCGACGCCTCGCGAGCCGCCCGAGCGCGGCGACGAGTCAGCCAGCCAGCGCAGCCTACACCTGCACACCCACGCGCACGCACACGAACACAGCGAACGACGGCGAGCTCGGCTGGCGCCGGGGCCGGAGGTGCCCGCCGGACGTCGACCGAACGTCCCCCCCCCCCTTCCCCTCCTCCGCGCAGCGAAGCCGGGCAGGTGCGTGCAAGCGAGCCGCGCCGGTAGCCGGTGCGTGGGAGCCGCGGACTGACGGAACGCGCGCGGCAGCACATCTAGGCCTCGAGAGCGGGCGACTTGGCCTCCGCATCTGGGGACTTGGCCCCGGAATCTGGGGACTTGCCTCGGATTCTGGGGACTTGGCCTCAGGGTTCGGAGACTTGGCGTCGGATTCTGGGGACTTGGCCTCCTCCGCCGGGGATGTGGCCTCCGCAGATTGGGACGAGTCTTCAGGCTGCGGTGGCTTGGTATCAGCTTCGGGAGATTTCGGGTTATCTGGCTGCGCGGGTGAAGACGGAGACTTTGCTGGAGATTTGTTGGGAGATTTTGTTGGCGAAGACGGACCCGTGCTCTGAAACAGTCATCGGGCACCAATCATAATACAACCATTCGAAGCCATAAGCAGGCGACAACCAAGACAGCACCAAGTTTGCCAGTCATCCCAATCATGATGTAAAGACGAGCTCTCCGTCGACTGCGATGAATATTGATTTTCTACTTGCATAATGTGAGGTAAGGAAAATTAGATAGATGTGGAACAAATCGTCGGTGATGGGCAGGTAACAATAGCAATAACGGGGGCTTTAAAATATCACAAAATATAAAACGCCCATGCGCTTTGTCGTCCATGTCCTCTTCACGACATCATGTGCGCGCGTGGGTTTAAAATTTTGAGTCGAAATGTGACAACAGTGCAATTGACATTTTGCTTACATACTAAGAACATGAAAAGCATACGACAGAAACTACTCGTGCTATTTTCCATCAGAAATTGCCATCATGGCCAGAAAATCACCGTCACTGAGCTGTGGCAGGTCCATTGACCGGGAGTACGTATGTGTGCCGCACGGGTCGAGATATGCCGGCTGGCACAGGCGGCACAGCTGGGACTGGCTAGCGGCAGGCAGGTCACCTAGTACACCATGGGCAGGAACCAGCGCAGATAGTGCAGCGTTTTGAAGAGCAGCACGAGGTAGGAGGCGGGCGAGGAGTGGACCACGTTCGCCATGCACGCCATGGCCAGAAACTCGACGTTCTCAAACCGGGGCACTTGGGGCTCAATGCAGATCACCTACAGGAACGGGTGCGAGGGCCACAAGTTAGCAACGCCTTTGAAAGATACCGAGGAAGCTTCAGATCCAGCCACCGTGCTCCTTTTTCGAGTAGGCTATCATATGGTCACAACTTTAGCTTGGCGTTAGGATAAATGCAACCGGCGAGGAGCGGCCCCCTCCCGCTCCCCCTCAATCCACGACGCCCACCACCAGCGTCGATGCGCAGGTGCCTTAGAAACAGGAATGGAAGGAAGTGGTTTCCATGTGTCGGCGCTGCGCATTTTCTGACGAGGAGTTATGCGCTCGGGTCGGAAACTGAGCTGTTCATCTGCGCTGTGTGCATGAATGTTCGTCGATAAAGACATCGGTCACGTGTGACGTGTCCCAAAGCACCTACGCACACACACACACATGTTGAATTTGTTGAAGGCTGCCAACACAACCCTGTTTGTGCTGCAGTTCCACACCGGGTTTCATGCACCCTCTATAATGAGCTAAGAATGACGGCTCAAATTTGCATACGTGGTGCGTATGCCACCCCAAAAATAAAGGTCACGTCCTGTCGCATTCTCACGTGCTGTCGGTAATTGGCATCGCGTCTGAGAACATGGCATACTTCGTCAGTCAGGTAAGGGGGCAGCAAAGACTGTACAAGCATGCGGAGCTAAAGAAAAGAGTACAGAAATCACGTTCAGTCAAGATTGCTATTAGCTTTCCCTCCAACCACCTGAACATATGGATGTGCCTTGAATGTACAATCCAAAAGGACCGACGGCTCTAAACACTACAGACAGAGACTTGAGGTGCTGATGTTAGTAGCGGCCAGCTGTTCACCAGGGCCTGCAGGCTTGTAAGGCGCTATGTTAGTAAGCCGAAATCCACCTGTAAAGGAATACTCACCGTCAGAGCCGGGCTCAACCCCTCACCGGTTCCGTGGCGTCATCTATCGAGCTGGCCTGAGACTTGCGCCTGCTACGGCCCTCGCCAGAGCCAGAGCTAATCTGGCGAATGTACTCAGTGTCGTTGAAGATTTTCTTGTCGCCACCTTGCGGCTTGTGTTTCACGTTATCCAGCGAGCCAATCCTACTGCCCACCGCGGACATGTCAATTTTGATGGATTCAACCTGAAAGGGCGGCGGCCCGCAGGGCATGAGTGCAGTGCAGCCGGTGCAGTCGCCGCATGCTTCTCTCGCGAGGTGCTCCTCGCAGCCCAAACACATCCAAATATAGCATGACCATACACCGTGACGTCATGTTCTGCACGCAGCACACAAAAATGACCGCGTGCCGTGTTGTGAGGTGCTGCAGAAAACGAATGCCCGTCTCTGTGTGGCGATACCGTTGGACGTTGAACGCATCACAAACGAAGCACATGCCATACCCGCTATTCTGGTGGTAACGTGACGACCAAAGTGGGTGAACAGCCGTGGTGGTGACTGAGAACATATATCAGCTGAGCAGGCGTTCTTTTCAGCGGTCACAACTTCCAACGTGGTACAAGCTTCATGCACACAGCATACATAGCATGTTTTGTTGAACGTTGGCACATCAACCACATCATGCTTGAATGTCTTATGATTTTACGGCTGATCAGTGTAAAACAGACACTTAAATGTGACACGTTGGGGCAGGTGTAGAATGAGAACGGGCAAATTTTCAGAACACTTTACACCAGTGCACCAGTGCCGTGCGTGAAAACATCCCAGACATTCCGTGGCATTCTCCAGCCAATACCGGTGCACCCCTCTGTCCGAGCGTGACCCCTAGCGACCTCTGTGCCCAGTGGACGCCACCTCGGCACGGCCAGGTGGCACTGCCAGCCGCCACCGTTTGAGCAAGTGACGCTGCCTGCAGCTCGGAGGCAGCCAGGTGGCGCTGCCATCGTCAGGGCATACCTTGACATCGCCGCCGCCCGGTTTGTGCTGCATGTTGTCCCGCGAGCCGACCTTGGGTGCAGCGCGCTCCTTGAACTCCAGCTTCTGGTTGCTGACCTTGACATTGCCGCCGCCCGGCTTGTAGTTCGTGTTGCCCATGGAGCCGACCTTCGACTCCGACTTCCACTCCAGCTTCCTTGACTCGATCTGCAAGTACAGTGCGTTGGTCACACGCGTGCTTGACTGCCAGTGAGGTGGAAGCGAAAGGGAGGGTCCGGAGCAAGGGTGGCTGCTCGTTATCACGCTGGGAACATAATAAAGTGGGAAGCTCGGAGGGTCATGTGGCGGGATCGTCGGGGTCCCAGGCCCTTTGCAGCGCGCACGTCCAGCCGTACCGAACAACTGTCCACCCGAGGCACACTAAGCAGCTGGACTATTTTAAAACTGTTAATAAATCCGAAGCACACCTATATGCGTGTACCCGGACGTCCCTTACGGAAAAGGAAAAATGTAAAGTTGTCTCCGATCTCCTCTGACTTTGGGCTGAATTCCCGCGAAATTCTCAGCATTTAGTATAAACCCATTCGTTAACGCGGGGAGGGCATGGGCTCCGTGTCCCCACCCCTCCCTCCCCTTTTAGCCTCGTCCCGCACACCTATGGCAGCTAGTCCATAAAGCGAACTGATATTGGCATCACCAGAACACAGGATCCTCATCATGAAACGCACCCAAACTTAGATCAAATCATCACTATTATGCGGCTAGTTTTCTCACATGATGTTGGGTGACCGAGAATCTGCACCTATCCGATGCACAGCTATAATCATTCACCGCTTAAATTTTATCTTTGTAGTGCCGCTACCGGTTTTGTAATTAGACTTTATGGGTCTATCTGATTTACAATTATAATTGTTTGCCTCTTCAATGTTTACCTTTTTGGTGCCACCACCGGGTTTGTAGCTAGACTTCGCCTGGATTTTTGTCGAGGCCTTGCTCACGTCGATTTTGTGGCTTTCGATTTTGATGTTCCCTCCACCGGGTTTGTAGCTTGAATTTGCCAGAGACCCGATGCGAGATTTGACGTTCTTTATGTTCGGCGAAGCAGCTGTCCCCACTTGCACCTTGTTCATGGGTACTTCTGAAACGTACCGGAAAGTACAGTAACACACGTCCCACGGGCGACACAAGTTATCTATACAGCTTGAGTGTGCTGCGGCGCTCAACGTTAAGCTAGGACCCCAGTCCTCAGCTTCGTGATCAACTACAAATTGGAGATGAAGTAAGTCCATTTAACTTCAGTATTTGATTGGGGGCCATGCCTACGCATATACCATTCGCTCAAATATTTCAAGGTGTTAAACGAAAATACCTGGGGAAATAACCTATACATTTTTTCAATGCGGACTCACACGGACAATTCAATCTGTGATATCAAGCGCCGAAAGCATATACATGGCCATTATGTCATCAGAAAACTCAGCTAGCATTGGCTTACTTTCTCTGTTCACGCTGCACAAATTGTCTGCATAGTCATAGCTGGATGTCCCCAGGTCCGGAACGCGGGGTGGTGGACCGTAAGCTATCGTCCCGGACAAAGTTCGATACACAACGGGACGGATATGAGGGCTTTTCATGGCCAACAAATCAACGATAGGTGCAATAAAATTGTTTTACATTAGCAATTGACAAGGAATTTTAAATTGTTCCAAAATATTACGGATTTCCATGCCCTACTACATTGACAGGGAGTTGCTGTTCGGTATTTCTGGGATTAACATGAAATTCATAACCTTTTCTTCTAATCCAACACGTGACATAGGCTTCAGGTAGTTCATCTGCGTGCATAACTCCCAAAGCGGATTCACAAAATACCAAAACAATCGTTATCTACGAGGCATCGTGTTCAATTTCCATACTGGCACGTCAACGTATCGACCAAACTTAAATATTGATATGTTGACGCGGCATAAACTGCGAAGAAAGAATACGATTTTCCACAACAGCAATGGATTTGACCCCATACAGCTGAGCTCGATACTGAATTTCACTTAACAGTGCACTTGATCTTTTTCAGAGACGCCTTCAACTGCCAGAGATACGACTGAAAGCTCATGAGCGTTGCACTTGCGCCACCATTGCTCGTCCTCCTCACCGATTCAAACATTTAAATAAAAAGTATGAGGTCGCAAGACATCAAACTTGCAACATTTGAATGCACTACCGGGTGCCAACAATTTCCATCGCTTGCTGAACAGTTGCCTCCTTTTTCGAGGTTTCTGGGTAAAAACACATCAAAACAACTTTCATATATTTGCCAGGTTAAACTGAGCACGCTAAGAGAGGAGTTCATTCTGAAAGTGCTCTATGCCAAAACAACATCAGCGTAGTGCATACAGCTTTACTTTTCTGGATGAGCAAAGGAACGAGGTTGTGACGAAATGCAACGGATGAAAGATCAGCAAAGCTTATGGTGACGTTCTTGTGAAAAATTGTGCTGGCAAGATATTTGCTTTCTTTAACCCGTTCGCAACCCTGTCTGAATACCGAGAAATCGACACACTCACGCCAACGATTTTATTGCCGGCAGTTTATGGTCATGCCGCAAAAAATGCGCATGCAATTACGCCTTGCGAATTAATCGCGGAGCGTTGCATATCTATGACGTGTACATCGAACTATTATTTTATTAATTGCTGAGGGTGATACTTAAGGGACTCAGCAGGGGCAGCTTTTTGGAATGTGTGTACAGTCATTTAGAAGCCTTCTTCTTATGTGCGGACGCCATTTTATTGATGACTTGGATGGCTTCCTTATCTCTACTCAACTGCCTTAAAAATCTGGCAATCTTACTTGAAGTCTGCTTTGTCTTCTTTTTCTTTTTTGACTTTTTCTCTTGGTCTTAACCATGGCAGCAGCTGACGCAGCTCTCCTGCTTCCGCTTCGGGAGGCAGCCGGTGATGCAGGCATTAGTTTCACGTGCTTCAAGATTCCCGTGGACACATCACTTGGATAGCTGTGCAAGCTGCGGAGACTGCGAACGGACGGTTCTCGACTTTTCCTCACTTTCTTTGTCTTTTTCTCGTTCTCTTCTTTTCATCTTTCGTTTGGTGTCATCAGGTAGAGACATCTTGGAATTTATACTTTTCTGGGACGGTGACCGTCTCTGATTCCGCGAGTGATGGTGCGAGGAGGAGCGTTTTTTTTAATCTTGACCTGAACGCCGGTACTCTTGGTAGGATTTTCGTCAATTTTGCGTGGCAGACGAAGCAAACCTTTTCTCGGACACTGGAGAGCCTAACCGCCCGGCAGAGCTGTGCTGAGTAGTCAGCGCGTTCTGCCCAGAGGTGGCCCGAGCTCCAGTCAGGCACGAGGGCTTTTCAATGGGGACGGACCGAACACGGTCGGCCGACCGCACGCGATGCCGGCTCTCTGGCGGCGGCGGCGACGGGCTTCCGGGGGGTCGACCTGAGGCGCACTTTGGCCTTCTTCCACTCCATGTTCTCCGGAGTTTTCTGGACTGGTACCGCTGTCTTCTGTTCTGGCTTGACAGCGCTTTGTGGGGGAAATCGGAGGTTTATCTGTATCGACGGGCGGGTTGGTCCTCGGAGACCGGATCGGATGCGTGTGGCGCAGAACTGATGGACGTCTGACAGTCCGGCTGACTGCTGGTAGTTTCGGCGGCCTTCTTGCCCAAGGCGTCCGTCTGAGTCGTTGAGTGGTGTCTGGAGATCACAGTGGTTGCCGATCCCGATGACTCCTCCACGCTTAAACCACTAGCAGCAACGAATGTTTGCGTGTGCTTGGAGTTTTGTGGCGGCTAGTTTGAACTTCGTAGCCAGATACTGCTGTCGGCGAACATTCCTGCCGCGGGCCATACGTGGTGGGCTGCGAGCAATCGATTCAACACTGCGCTGGTTTTTCTATGGGATCGGTGTCGCTGCTGTCTGCCGCTATAGAGAAAGGCCTCCGACGCCCGTGGAGATGCCGTCTTACTGCGAGACCTGGATCCTCGCTTCGGCGATGTAACAGCATTGCTGCTTCGCGTTTGCTGAATCTGTGTGGTGTTTGCTTTCTGGTTGGCTTTCACGGTGGTCAATCCCCTAGAAATTTCGGCATCAGGCTTATTCGGCTTCAGATGGTACTGTGCATGCAGCGCAGTTCCCTGACTATGAGCAACCCTTCTCTCACAGTTGGCACTCGCTGGTCTGGTTGGCTTGATTGCTGAATTGTTTTGAGATCCTCCAGAATGTTGCCTGTTAGGACTTACTCCACGACAACCACCCGGCGGTTGAAATCCTCGCGACCCTCTCCTTTTCTATCTCTTTGTATTTCTCCCTAACATGCAACGGTAGTGATAAGTCGTTTGGGTCTCTCAAGTTCGCGTACACATACTGTATCATATGTTTGCCACGCGCATCGTTCGCTTTAGGTAGTAAGTTCCAGGTAGCGGCACATTGCTGCCAGCAGATGCCGGCCTTTCCAGATTGGTTCTTGGAATGGAGTAAAGTGCCTGACCTGAGCTAGACTTCGAACTTTCGTTCTGAACGTTCTTCTGAAGGTCATTCGAAGAGACCCGATTTACCACCTCTGGTGCTGCTTGGGGAGTATGGCTGGATGGCGAAAGAGCCATCCGTTTCCTTTACAGATAAACAATTTATCCGATAGATAATGGATAATTTGTACGCCAAAAGAAGGCCCAAAAATAAACCACAGCATATTGATAATGATTTGGCCTCGTGCGTCACATAAGTCCGCGTACTAAACTAAAAACATTGAAAACAAAGCCGCTCACGTGTGCATTTTGATTGAGCGCTGTCATTTGACTGAGACAGATTTGATGATCTGTCTTGATATACTGACTACTTTGATAACCGTTACTCTGCTATATTTGTGAGGTACCTATGTAAGTACTTACTTTGCTGACGGCGATTTGCAGTTAATATATCAACGATGCATTCGCATCATAAATGTATCGCGATACGTCGCTTACCTATAATGTGGGCATCAAACTGTTATTTGATCGTTTGTTGAATGAGTGCTGACGCCAGTTAGATTAAATGGATAATTTCCTGTATGTGCTGCTTTACTATTTTCGCAGCTCATCTAGCTCATGGTCTTTGGTACTGCGAGCATGTAGGTCAAAATATGCCAGCCATCAATGTACTAGGAGCTATTGGTTAAACGAAGAGCGTAAACAATCATTAAGATCGATTATGAAAATATTCAACTGAGTGCTTTCATGGAATGGCATCACGATTGCCTCATACCTTCCTTTAACCTACAGTTTCCTTTGCATTGTAGGCCGATTATTGTCGGATGAGAACTTACAATATGACATGGTTGGGTCACTGTCTTGAAATATATCATTGCTAATTGTTTTCATTTTTCGAGCAAAACAGCCTTTGTGCTCCCAAGATAGCAGTAAATATTGCTCATAGCCATGCATCTCACATCATTATTGTCACAAATAGCTTGTTTGTAGCCCAGAACGCATTACTGAAAATCCAGCACGCTTGCCGTACGAGCATTGTATAGCGGTTCAAACTTGTTTATGGCGTAACGGGCATATAATGTGCAACCGTATTTCAAATGTGATTAATATAATCGTATTGGATCTACACGATAATCACCATGACGATTTTTACACAACGGATCCTACGGTTTGGTGGGTATCGGGACGTTATGGCCTGTTGAGTGGGGACCACACGACCTGGAGAGAGTCGGGACCTCACGGCCCTGCGAGTAGGGAACCACACGACCTGGAGAAAGTCGGTACCTTATGGCCCGGTGAGTGGTGACCACACGACCTGGAGTGAGTCGGTACCTTATGGCCCGGTGAGTGGGTGACCACACGACCTGGAGTGAGTCGTGACCTTATGGTCCGGTGAGTGGGGGACCACACGATCTGGAGAGGGTCATGACCTTATGGCCCGTTGAGTGGGGGACCACACGACCTGGAGAGAGTCGGGGCCGTGTGGCCCGATGAGTGGAGGACCGTACGCCCGGGAGAGAGTCGGGGTCCGTGAGCTGGCGGGTGCACAGCATGTTTGTGTTTAAAGTGGCCTAGTCGATGTAGCGATTTAATATATATATATATATATATATATATATATATATATATATATATATATCGTCACCGTACAAATGCCACTAAATGAGTCACTTACTTTTTTGCTTCTCTTGAGATGTGGCCGGCTGGACGCGTTTGGTCGGAGAGCGGCTCTTCTGAGGGGAAACTGATTGGTCGACATCCTGTAAAACCAGAAGAATGTAGCAAACAACCAGCAATCTTTGGAAATCGGATTATACATGAAATGAATCTACGCCCTTGGCATTTGAACGTACAATTACGCACGTTTCAGACTCATGTGCTCGTATTTTGTAATGAAAAGCTATCCTTGGGTATGCAGTATAGCTGCTGGTGCGCCAATCAGTCAGATTAATGGAGCTTGGTTGAAAGGCTTCGCAAGCCTGCGTTTTATGAGTGTATTATCTGCCACAATAGATGCAAGGTACATGCATTGGGCCAAATAATACGTTAATAAGCTGGGTAACAGGTCAAGAAAATATCTAAAGCAAAATCCAAGTTTCCAGTAATATAAACACAACAGTATTTTGGTTCACGTTTTGCTCCTTCCCGTCAGGTCATCTGAAATTTTTGCATCCTGATCAAAACGATTAACATATTGCCAGTGCCGTCATAAGCATTATACTAGGAGGCCTTCAGAGCTGCCAAGTGCTCCGAAAGACAGCATCGCAATTGTATTTATTAAGTAATGTTGAAAAGCTACTGAACAAACCATTTGGATCGCGCCAAAATGGTATTAAATGTACACACTCGCATGTCATTAGGTCAAACACCTGTATTTGCACAAGTACTTTCTAACTTATCGTGCTAAAGAATATAAAATGTGCAGCTGTCTGTTAACACCATGTTTCCAATGAGAGCAAAGCACCCGCAAAAATGATGTCACAAAAATATGTATCATGAGATGTCAAAGTCTTCTACACATGTTTGTATTGCTGATTGGGGTTAAAGGGCGCGTCGACCACCATGGTCGTGTTGCGTCTATTTCTGCGCATTTAAAAGCATGCTGATTTTGGGTGATTGGGGTCAGTGAGTAATAAGATAAAGGTTCTACACCTGTCCTTCAAAACAAAAATCGTTAGTGCCAGAAACAGGTAGATCAAGGTGGTAAAAGTTCAATGAATATTATTTTCGGGGGGAGCTTCATCAGCACGGAATAACATTTCATATTGTGCAGTGATATCACCACGTGTGCAGTGATGCCACCACGTGTGTAGTGATGCCACCACGTGTGCAGTGATGCCACCACGTGTGCAGTGATGCCACCATGTGTGTAGTGATGCCACCACGTGTGCAGTGATACCACCACGTGTGCAGTGATACCACCACGTGTGTAGTGATACCACCACGTGTGCAGTGATATCACCACGTGTGCAGTGATGCCACCACGTGTGCAGTGATGCCATCACGTGCTTTCTACACACGGTGGCATCTTAAGTAGAGTTAGCTGACCTAATGCTGTCCGTCTATAAGACACCAACACAGGTATCTCACGTAGAACATTTAACGTGTGATAAAACAGTTGTTATATTTTACATATCAGATTTACTGTAGAGCGTTAGGTGGTCGGATATGTGTGACACATAGCTCTTGACACAATGATGAAGTCAAGATATCTGGTCTGAAGTGTCTAATAATGTTTTATATCGATTATTTTTCCTTCTACAACGCTAATAATTACTAATTTAGTGAATTTAATGAGCAATGACGCAGTTCCTGTGATCCTATGACTTCTGTGCAGCTCACATAAATGCACAAGACCGCATTTCAATATCAGAAGGGAAACACATTCAAGTCCCTTGCATTCTCAAACATGACCATCATAAAGTACCTGAAATTCGAGATAGGGCGCGCTCTTTCACTTTCCTTTTAACGTCCCCGGAATACGAATAACTCGGAATCTGTAGTTAAAGCGTTCATAAAAGCAAAAGGTGAGAGCAGCAAGAAAAGGCAAAGCGTCGCCGCATCATATGTACGTAAGCAGCTCACTTACCTTTCCTTCGTCCACACCCGAGTCCCGATCAGCGTCTGAAACCAGAGCAAAACGGTCAGATTCAGATAGATTTTTATCGCAGAGATAAGCACTGAGGTTTCCGAACAACCAGTGCGGTGTGAAAACCGAAAACTGCTGAGCAGCCCTGCCTACAAAGCTTCAATGACTCGTTTCCAATGCGGCATCACTGACGAAACCTCCAGCTTCCGAGAAGCGATCTGCATAATCCTGAAATTGTTGCGGCTTAATCAAGGAAACCGATAGTAACCAAGCAACATGAAATTACAGCTTGAATCGTGTGCAAAATAAATGTACGAATGCACCCATAACGAGCTGCATTTGATGTTCAGAAATTTCAACTCGTGTCCATTTAACAAGGCACACGATCCAAAGGCGGTTATTTCCTCATTGCCTGCACTACATGTGTCACATAAACAGGATGAAACGGCGATAAAAAAGCATGCATATATATATATATATATATATATATATATATATATATATATATATATATATATATATATATGTATATATACTCGCATGTCATTAGGTCAAACACCTGTATTTGCACAAGTACTTTCGAACTTATCGTGCTAAAGAATATAAAATGTGCAGCTGTCTGTTATATGTATATATTTATATACATACATATATATGCATGTATATATATATATATATATATATATATATATATATATATATAAAGCAGTCCATTTAGCCCGCCAAATTTGGCGTCCCATGCTTCCTTATTCCGGTACCCCTCATGTTTTAGTTAGTTTTAGTTCATCTTAGCATAATTGTAGTTATGTTTATCAGTATTGTGCCGATATACCGAACAAAAATGCAACAAAGTGTGTTTTTCCTCCTTCGTTAGGTCTCGGAAGGCAGCCCAGCATCCAAAAATGAATGGCCACAGCCACGAAGAAAACGAGCAGCAGTGCTGTGTTAACTCAGACTCGGAGTTACAACGGTTGGCAGAGCAACATCGGTCATCTTGATGTTTGTTGGCTGTTTTCTCGTATAGAGAAACAGATAACTCTAATATGAACAGGAAAATCAGCAGACGTTTCCCTCTGTCTTATCAGCAGACCGTGAGCCCTCTTCATTGATGTGAAGAGGAATCCTTCACGAATGTCGTAAACCATCATCTAGCGGGCCCTCAGAAAAGACGACGCAATGTTAATCATTTTAAAGTTTTTTTAAATACCGGAACCAACGTGAAATACCGACACCTACTTACTGTAGCCATGTCGTCCAACAACTGACACAATTCACTTGGTCCCGCAACTTCACGCAGCTATGTGCTTAAGTGCTCGCGGGCATCTAAGGAGAAACTTAATTCGTATCATTATTTTTATGGCTATCTGGGAGGGTACCCGAACGTGTAACATGTGATGCCATAGAAACGCGGTCGTATTGGTTGCTGGTAAAAATAGGAGGAAGACCGGCGTGCGCAAAAGACATATGTGAAGAAAGATCCAGCCTAACCTTGATCTTTCATGAACAGCTTCGATAAAATATGTCGCAGTTCAACTTGCGTAATTGTACAAAGTCATAGACGTCGCAAATCTCGCACCGGCTAGGTTAATTATAGCCTTCATGGAGCTTAAAACCATTATCACCAAACATCCTGCGCTTGTGTTACCCACGGAGGCATAAATTAAGTTATTGAGGAAACATTCTGTTCTGCGATAGATTAAGCATTGCCTATTCGGGGACGATTGTATGGCTTTTCGAAAGCATGGGCCGGGTAAAACTTAAGCTGTTCATGTTCAACAATATTTCCCCAGAACACCCCCACCTCTTCGTTTCCGCGAGAGCGACCGGCCCCGTATCTCCTTTTTCTTGAAGTCTGCCTCCTCTTGCTTCTTCTTCTCCAGCAGCAGGGCCTGGGCGCGCGTCATACGTATCACGGGTCCGCCGCCGGCGCCGGCGGCGGGCCGCTTTCTGGGCGAGGCTCTCCTCCGGTCCGCCGATCTGCCCGTGCGCTCTTCGGCGGGCGCGGTGGTACCTTGCGCCGCCGGCTCCTCTGCTGGCAGGGGGTCGGATCCGGTAGCCGCCGCCGCCGCCGCCGCCGCCGTCGCTGCGGCTACCGCGATCGGCGCCGCCGCCAGCGCTGCCTCAGACGCGCCCGTCTCGACCTGCCCCGGTTCTGACTCCGGCTCCGGCTCCGGCCCTTGTTCCGACCCCGGCGCCGGCTCAGGCTCTGGCTCTGGCTCTTGCTCCGGTGCCGGTGCCGGCTCCGGCTCCAGCTCCGGCTCTGGCTCCGGCTCCCGCTCCCGCTCCGGCTCCGGCTCCGGCTTCGGCTTCGACTCCGACTCCGGCCCCGCTTCCGTGCCCGTTTGTGTTTCTTCAGCTGCCTCAGGTCCCGTTGCTGCTGTTTCAGCGGTGGTTTCAGCCCCGGCTTCTGCTGTTTCGTCAGTTTCCGTAGCTCCCGTTTCTTCCGCTTCATCGACGGCCTCCGCGCCCGCCTCAGCAGCCTCGGCCGCGGTGTTTGAGGCTGCAGTCTCGGCCGATTCCGGAGCCGGTTCGGAAACTCCAGAGGGGGACGGCGCAGGCGATGGGTCTGTGGTGTCGGTGGTCGGGGCGGGCACCTCTTGGCTGGCGTCTGGAGACGCCCGATGGCTCGTTTCCCCGGCTGGAGTCGACGAGAGCGCCGGCGAGGGAGCCTTGGCCGACGCCGGCGTCGGCGTGCGAGCCGCTTCCGTCGCGGGAGCCGGCGACGGCAAGCGCGAGCTCTCCTTCGCTGCGGCGGGCGTCGGAGTGCGGGATGCCTCCTTCGCTTGAGCGGCCGAGGAAGCGCGTTCGTTGTCAGACGCCGGCGTCGGCGTGCGGCTCTTCTCCTTCGTCGGACGAGGCGACGGCGACGGCGACACCGGCCGGCCCGAAGCAGGCGTCGGGGTTCGGCTGCCGTTCGGCGCCGGGGATGGCGACGGTGACGGCTTCGCGGCGGACTGCGCGGAGGACGCGCGGGACGGCGCCTCCTTAGTGGGAGCGGGGGACGGCGATGGCGAGGGACCCTTGGCCGAGTCGGGAGAGGGTGTTCGGTCGCGAGCGGCAACGGACGAGCCCCTGCTGGGCGCGGGGGACGCCGCCTTGTTGGGCGAGGACGAGAGCGCCGGAGAGACGCGGGCGGCCGGGTCCGGTGACGGCGAGGGCGCTGCGCTGCCGGCGGCGGAGGCGGCCGCAGGCTGGCCGCCCGTCTCCGCCACCGACGCCGACGAGTCTGGCCTGTGCTCGGAGCCTGCCTCGGAGGCCTTGCGACCACTGGCCGCCGTGGACGGTCGCGAAGACGCCGCCGCCTCCTCGGGCCTCGATGGGGACGCCGCCGCGACCGAGGCCGCGTCGCTGTCCTTATCAGCATCCTCCGGAGACGAGTGGTCTTCGGGCACCTCCGGGCTGACCGAGCGGTGCGACTCGACCGCGCCGTCCGGCCCCGCCGCCGAGCCGGCCCGGGCCGACGAGGCGCGCGAGCCGCGCGCCGACGACGGCGTCGGTGAGGCGGCCACCGCCGAGCGCGCCGACGGCGGTCGCGACGACACGCTCGACTTGACCGACGGCGGCCGCGACGACTTGGCCGACAGCACCGACTCGGGCCGCGACTCGTCGGCGATCTCGGCGGCCGTCGCGCTGTCGGGCCGCGGCGCCGGTGCCGGCGACACCACCACGTCGTCATCGTCGGAGGCGTGTCCGTGCGCCCCGCTGTCGCCGTCGTCGTGGAGCGCCGTGGCGCCGACAGCGCCCGACACCGTGTCGACGGTGCCAGCGCTGGCCTCCGCCAGCGCCAGCGGGTCGGCCGGCGCGTCGTCGCCGACGGCGACGTCGCACGTCAGCAGCTGCTGCTGCACCGAGCTGAACACCTTGCCGACCAGCCGCTCGGCATCCAGCGAGCCCTGCGAATCAGCCGTCGGCAGCGGCGGCACCTGGAAGCCGCCAAGCGGCAGCCCTGCCGCCCGTCCTGCGCCGTCGGCCGAGTCGACGGAGCGCGTCGAACCGGACGCATCGATCTAGAACAAAGAGACCCCGATTCACCGGCGCTCGACGGCGGAGCCGCGATAACGAGCGTCTGGACCGAAACCGGCGAAAGAAACTCTCCGACACGAGCGGGACCATCGGCGGGCCGGCCGCGGCGCGTACCCCGTTGGTGGCGCCATCCCGAGCAGCGCTGGCCGAGCCCGGCCGGCTGCCGCTCTCCGGGTGCAGCTCCGACATTGGGCGTCTGTGCGGCTCCGAGGCGACGAATCTGGAGGAGACCTGGCCGCGGCCCGGCGCCGCCGTCAGCGCCCGTGGTCCCGCCGCTCGACAGCGGTGCGTGCACGGTGCGGGGTGCGGGCGCTGGGCCACTTAGCCACCGATATCTTGGGATCTAACCCAGTGGGCACGCTACGTTGCGCCTGTTGCTTTATGACGATGGGGAACAGCACTGTGGAAAAGCAGACTCCCTAGGGGCCGTGGAAGTACATAAATTGACAAATCGAATGTGCAGATGTTCATGCATGATGAATGCATGCATAGCAAGTGCTTCGGCGAGTTGCATGTGGCGCGAGGCCTACGGATCCTTAAATATTCCGGGCATGATTCTCTTTATAGGACAGAGCCTCGGTCACAGCTAATTCGTGACGTGAATGACGTGCTCGATATAGGTATAATGTAATGAACGGTGGCTTCATGGGGCAGCTTTTTGCTCTTCTACGCCAATCTGTGTTAACGTTTTGGCGAGTTGATATATTTAGCCGCCTCCATCACTCCCATCATCACTAGTGCCTGTATCCAGCAACATTCCTGTGCCGAGCCAAGCCTCCGTGCTGTGTCTAGTGACCTCTGTATTGGCCCTCTAGCTAAACACTCAGCCACCGAGGGCTAGGTCAGTGGGGCTGTTTTCCGGCTGGTCAAATGCCCCTCGCACGGCGCAATCAACGATGAACGCCCGGTAACGACACGGCGCAATCAATGATGAACGCCCGGTAACGACACGCAAGTGGCCCGAGCCATGTGTGCAGTCAAGCCTGATCTCAATGCACTATTGATGCGAGGGGCGAGCACGACCGACAATGATAGAAGCAATACGGAACGCCCGCGCGCATGCCAAGTGTGTGGCGGAAAACAAGTGCCTCCTCAATGGAGGTGAGACCTGCCGGCTAATTAGCAGCGCGTGGCCGGACCTTGGTGATGTGGAGCGGGCATTAGCGCGCTCGTTTTGGATGCACATGATTATGGCAACAGCCACTGTAGGGGCAAGTTACGTTCGGTTATTGTCGACTCTTAAAAAAAGTTAGCCAAAGTAAAATAACTCTATTGTGATATCATGAGCCATTGCAATTCGCATGTCGCTGAATGTGATGGGAGGCGCAGCTGAACCGAAACAAACATGCCTGAAGGCGACCTGAAGCTTGACGGCGATACAACGTATGCCTTGCGAATGCATAGGCGCTACCTCAAAACATACCAGGACCCGAGATTTGACAGAGTTAAAGGATATTGAAATCAATAAAGGAAGCGATTCTCCAACGAAAAAAATGGCATCCTTTTTGGGGAATCAAATTCAAGACGATTTGACTCAATGTGATATTAGAACACGTTACGGTTCAACTTAAAGTACCAAGTCCAGAGCCCCCGACACTTTAATCTCGCCCAGGGAGAGCACAGCAAAAACATTGCGAAAGCTCAGTCGTTGTTCACGAGCCATGATGTGCTTATCTGTTATCTTGTAACAAGCAACCGGCAAAGATTTAACAAAATATTTCATTATGGGCCACACGTGACAAATTATATTATTTACCTCATGTTGCCACGTCCATTATGGGAAATATTCTTCCAGCTCTGTTGCACTCGAAGTGCGACACAAGACGCCTCAAGGAACAACAGTTAACAAAACCTCGCAAGTGTCAAGCCTTAGCCCTTCACGCTGCAGGCACATGTACAGTGAACAGCTCATTTCCCCCACGAGTGCATGTAGCACGCCAACAAGCCTGTGCGCGCATGCATACAGAGCGCGTGCTACTGTGCTCAAGTGCGCGGCTGGTGCGCAGCATTCACGCGTGCACACGGGAGGCGGACGGGACCACTGGGCGGCGGCGGCGGCACAGCTCGAGCGGCGCCGTGACCTGGCGTGACCTGTGGCGACGGTGCGGCGGCCGGCGAGCCCCAGGGCGGAGTGCGGTCGGCGCCACCCGCGGCCGCCGGCAGGAATGCAGCCACCGACCACTGACGTCAGGAGGCGATCGATGCGCCGGCCACGACGCGCCACTTCTGCCGGCCGGCTGGCTGCTGGCGCTGCTCTCATCTCGACAGAGGCCGTTCTTCCGGCGCAGGTCTCGTCCGACTGGTGGTCCGGTCCCGCCGCTGGTTTGGTCGGCCTCAGCCAGCTGGCTGCGCTCCTGGTCAGAGCTGGAGGTCCGCCTGGCGCTCCGCGCCGCCTCGCTCCGCTCGTGCGCTGCCGGTGCGGGTGACGGTGCTTTCCCTGCCAGCGAAAGCTTCAGGAGCTCCAAGTGACGCTATTCTCTGAATTCGTTCTGGAATGCATGCATGGGAACCGCAAGCGGTGCCTTCTCCATGCCAGACACCAGCTGGCAGGCCTTCGATGTTCCTGCCTCTGGGAGAGATGCATCTTCTATTTTCAGACGCCCGGTTGGAAATTCTTGTTTTCCTTCACAGCTGCCCTTGCGCCGCAGGATGCATAAGCTAAGACTCAGCTTATGACCTTTACGATTACATTTCTTTGGCCACACATTGCTCGAGACGACATTGTTACTCTTACCGGCGGCATATTGGTCACACTGATGAAAAAGTTTTGGTCGTCGAAATCACTACACCGCGCGAACAAAGATCGCTTCGGTATCAGGTTGGTAATAAATCAGACAGAACTCGAGCCAATTCACGGACTCCCGCGCCGATCCCGGCTCCG